AAAAAAACAGTTTTATTGATTAAAAAACACTATATCGGATTCATATCGGTATCGGCAGATATCCAAATTTATGATATCGGTATCGGTATCGGACATAAAAAAGTGGTATCATGCCATCTCTAGTATTCTTTATACATTGCTTGAAAATGTAACTTTTTTATTAACTACCTACTGTAAATACTGACAAGTTCTCTGTTTTTTTTCTTCTCCCTCTTAGAGCCCGACTCCCCTCCTGTAAACCTCACTGTGGTAAACACCACCCCCTCTACTGCCACAATAGCCTGGTCTGCACCAGAGAAAGCTAATGGGGCGATCCAGCAGTATGAGGTCCTGTATGAGAATGAATCCTACTCTGCGCTGGTGAACACGTCTTCTAACAAAGTCACCCTGTTCAGTCTGAAACCATTCTCCTTTTACAATGTGTCTGTGAGCGCGTACACGCGTTACGGAAATGGCAACCAGACATCAGACACTTTATACCTGCTATCTGGAGAAGATGGTGCGTTGAAGGATGTGCCCACCTTCACAGATACATGCATATGAAATGCTTTAGAGTGAATACCAACAGTTTAACCAACACGTTATGATGTTTTATTCCTTCTCCAGTCCCGGGCAGTCCTCCATATGGGCTCTCCTATGAATCAGTTAGTCCCAGTGAGGTGAATGTGACGTGGATGCCTCCTCTGCTGCCTAACGGCGTCATTATTCACTACAGCTTAGAGATTTGGAACTCCAGTCACTACCTGAACCTGACCTCGCGGACCAACTACATCCACATCACGCATCTGAGGAAGTACGCACACTACCGCGTCGTAGTTCAAGCACACACAGGAGTCGGAGCGGGAAACTACAGCAGCGAGCCGCTCAACATCACAACACTTGAGGATGGTGAGAGGGGCGTGACTGACAAGAGAAAAAAATGGGGGTGGTGTGGGTGTTCTTTTCAGTTCCAGGAAACTCCACCATTACATCATCACAGGCTGACAAGTTCGAAGGGCATCTGATTAAATCTAACTTTCCTCTAGTCTTTTCCTCCTCACGTCTCTGTTTCAGCCCATGCTAATGATGTTACATCACAGATACCCGATGCCACGTGACACTCGTGTTTTCCACCACGACTGGGAAGCGCAAACAACAGATTCATTACAACTAATCAGTTTTTTCTTTTCAGGGAAATGTTCTATTTTTTTCTAGTGTCTTCCTGTGTGCCTTTTGAGTCCCTGACTTCCACAACGATAAACATTTTATAAATTGATTCCCGTTTACTTGTAAGTTCACCACCAATGCATGTTTGTGCTACGTTATTGGAAAGTCTTTCTCGTGCGTCTCAGCTCCAGGCACACCTCCTCAGTTTCTCCATGCCAGGAAGTTGTCAGACTTTGAGGTAGAGTTATCATGGCAGCCACCACTCGAGGCCAATTCAGACATACTCTACTACGTTGTCAGAGTCTGGTAAGGTTTTGAACTCTACTTCCATCTAAAAACCTTAAAAGAAAACACAAATAATGCAGCGTCTATGTGTTAGGAATGAAACAACTGACCTGTGGCAGAATGTGACAAAGACTTCGGTGGTTATTAACGTGGACTCAGAGAGTCGCTACAATGCCTCTGTCTCCAGCTGGACCAAACTAGGAGATGGAGGAGTGCTGATCTACATCAGCTTTACCACAACTGATGCAGGTGCTGGATACATCAGCAATCTTTAAACATTATCGTGTTATCCTCACATAAAAAATAACATTTCCTCTTAAGTGATGTTTTATCGCACAACTTGAGTTTTTGACCTTTTAAACTGTCTCCTTTCAGAGCCATTTGACCCCCCGCAGAATGTGACTATTGTTAATGCAGACGCCTCCTCTGTTACCTTGATGTGGTATCCACCCACTGAACCCAACGGGATCATTGTACACTACACTATTTACTACTCATTTAACAACATTGTGACTGAGAAGGTGAGACAAAAATACTGAAGACAGATTAATTGAGTCAATAAGTTGGATGAAAGGTGCTGAATGTAGTAATCACTGCAAAGTCCTTTATAGCATTTTAGCTCCAGCACACACACACACACACACACACCCTCCCCCCGCACGACCCTGATAAGGACAGATTGAGTGATAAGGAAAGAGAATGTATTTATGGATTATTTTTTAGGTTGTCTGTCCATCCTTTGGCTCAAGCTCATAAACACATTGTCTCTTAAGTTTATCTTTATCTTTAATAGGGTTTCTTTTTTCAAAGTGTGGGGCTTATATCTGTAACCATTCATGTCACTGTGATATTTTGCAGGGATGAACTGAATTTAGTGTTTAAAGGTCGCTGTAACCTCACAAAATATGTTTTTGGGGCCTAACGGGATAAAATAATGAAGTCAAGACATTTTCTTTTCAAAATACAAAGATATATTTTGAAAGATTTCTTCTTTTTCTTGTTCTTTTGGCTTGCTCCTTTTGGAGTTGCAGCTGCCAATTAATCTGCCTCCATCTCACCTCATCACTAACAACCGCCTCTGCCACATCAGCCCTCTGCATGTCCTCTGTCACACATCCACAAAGCTTCTTTATGGTCTTCCTCTTTTCCTCCTGCCTCCTTTGTCCAGTATCCTTCTTCTGCACATGTCCAGACCATCTCAGCCTTGCCCCTCTGACTCTTTCCAAACTGCTCAGCTGTACCTCTGTTATACTCATTTCTAATCAAGTCTCTTCTCATCACTCACATCGAACATCATAACATCTTCAACTCTGCCACCTCCAGCTTCACCTCCTGTCCTTTTGTCAGTACCGCCGTCTCCAAACCAACATCATAGCAGGTCTCACTAGCATGATGTAAACCTTTCCTTTCCCTCTTGCTGTTATCCTTTTGTCACACATCACCCTTGATACTCGTCTTCACTCTACCCTGCATACACACTTTTCTTCACCTTTCTTGTACACTGTCCATTACTTTGAATGGTTAACCTCAGGTATTTAAATCCATCCACCATCACTATTCGTTTCCACCCGTCTCCCTCTCATTCACACATCACACATTATCTGTCTTGCTTCTAGTGACTCCCATTCCACTTCTTTCCAGTCCATAGCTCCACCTCTCCAGGCTCTCTTACACCTTCTCACTGCTCTTGTACTCTCAGATGTTTTAGGACACTATCAGTCACAAACATTCTCCACAAGTTAGGCTACAAAAATGTTTAAGTAATACGTGTTTCATGGTATTTTTTAACAATTACATGAATTTGTCCTGGAATGTGTAAAAAATGTGAACTGAATGATAGCTGTGCTTACAGGTCATTCCACTGCCCATGTAAACAGTAGCCAAAAAGTGAAAAAATGCAGGGCAAACTTGCTTCCTGATGAAATGTATTGCGCCTGATTTGTAACAGTATATATTTTGCTCTCACTGAAATGCATTTTTCAGGCTGTGAAATTAAGCCTTACACATCTTTTTCTCCACAGACAGTTCCTGTTTCAGACTTATATTCCCACACCTCTCCTAACTCACGTCTCTCCTACACTCTGACTGGGCTGATTGGGGGCAATAACTACACCTTGTGGATGGCATCCAGCACTGTGCAGGGTGATGGAGGGGTCCATTCCGAGCCCTTAATCCTGTTATTACCAGTGGACGGTCAGTCAGACACACGCACACACAAACGCAGTATAAACGAGGATAAAGTAAATACACATACACATAAACTACTACTCGGGAGGCTGGATAATAATTGCATGCGATGATTAAGAGTCTCACCGGAGGGCAGGTCTGCACTCTTTTTTTCAGAGCTCTTCAACTTGAAAAAAAAATTACATAAAAACGCTGTGATTGAAAATAGCTTTCAGTATCTGTGAAAGGAGATTAAAAAAAAAATGACCACCTGTGACACTGCGCTTTGAAGACAGCCAGTTATGACAGCATGATGAAAAATGTTAGGGATTATTAAAAAGGGAGAAACGCAGAAACACTTAAAATTTGTTGGCACAGAGATTCAACTGAGTTTGATGAGCTTTGAGGAAGTTCATATTAGTTCACACTACAGTCCTTGAATTTGCATTCATGCATATGCAAATATTTTGTTGCATTTTAGTATTTCCGTCTTTTAAAGCTCTTTGTTTTTATGTGATTTTCAAAAAAAACGGTGCAGACAGCAACTACGGACTTATTCACAAACTGACTGCATTTTGGCACTTTTTGTTTTGTTCAATTTTGCTTGTCGTGTATTCTGTGCCTCTGAATAATCACTGCTCACACTGACTCTGTATCTCTGCCTATGCTCTAGCTGCTCCACTCTCAGCCAGTCGCCGGACCTCCAGGGCACCTTGTCTCTCCCGCACAGCTAAGCCCAGCAGGGGTTCACTCCCCTGGGCTCAGACCCTCACACACATCCGGCCCCTAACATCCACTCATTCATCTTGCAGATCTCTCTGTTTTTTTCTGTCCTCTGTCTCCTTCATCTATCTCCCCACCCCTTTTTTTCTCTTTACTCTTTCTAGAGGACCTGACACCATAAGCAGGATGAGTATCACTTCATCTCTCTCCCTTTCATTCCTTAATTTTCAGTTTGTAAATTTCTTTCCCAAGTGCCTCTGTATTTCAAAATGAAGTCTTGTTAATCATGCATTGTTTTGTGTATTTTTACTGTTTGATTTTGCTTTGTTCCTCTGTTCCTGTGCTGCCAAATTAATGTTATGCTGTATTGTTCTTGATGTGCTATTTTTTTGCTAATTACAATCACCCTGAAAGTTGATGATGATGATGATCATTATGATGACTTCATTTTTAAGTCTCAGGGCATTGATTGATGCCCAATTTGATTCCGCATTCAAACGTAAACTCACAGTAAGGGCATAGAGTTTCAATCACTCGTGCCAGTGGAGATTAATAATAGTAACACTATTCTTCTTGTCTCATTCTTTAGTGCCAGGTGACTCGGTCCAAAACTTGACGGCACAGATCTTCAGCTCCACGGTAATCATAGTGAGCTGGGACCCTCCTCTGGAGCCAAACGGACGCCCCTACTACCTGCTCACCTTACAGGAGGCAGGCATCGTTCCAAACATCTCCAACCAAAAGGCTCCAGCTGTCAACAAGACCATAAAGCACACCACAACTGACAACATCTTCCTGTTCACCAAACTCAGGAAATATTTCCCTTATGTGCTGACTGTTACCCCAGCAACTACTGCTGGCCCTGCCTACAACCATACAAGGACAATGTACCTGAGAACGGATGATGACAGTGAGTTTATTCACAGATATTCACCCATGCAATATGTCTTTATGCATTTGTTGTGGCACTGACATGTGTGCGGGTGTGTTTCCCTTTAGTTCCTAGTTCTGCTCCGTTGTTGGTGTCCACCAGGAACCTGTCTTCGTCTTCCTTCGGTGTGGTCTGGCAACGCCCTCTGGAGGCCAATGGGGAGATAACAGAGTACACCCTGATTCTTGTTGGCCCGGAGGGCACCGACACAACGCATACCCCCAACACCTCGTTCGTCTTCACTAACCTACTTCCATACACAGCTTACAATCTCACAATTACGGCCGCAACTCGTAAAGGCTCGGGGCCTAGTCTGCTGCTGCAGCTGCACAGCGATGAAAGCGGTTAGTTTGAAAAAAGAGTTTAAATGATTATAGTGGGATGGCAGAAACTTAATATTCTCTTCTCCATCTGCCCAACTTTATGATCCAGGTCCCACCTCTCCTCCCCGTAACCTGACTATATATAACCACACGGCAGTCTCTGTGTGGCTGAGCTGGGAGCCTCCTCTAGAGCCCAACGGAGTGGTGATAAAGTACGGATTTCGGATCCAAGACCTCATCACACAAACCGTCACACATCGGGTACTGTTAATTTCACACACTGAAAGCAGCCTCACAACAACAATAACACACACCTACACATACTCCAAGGACCCACTCAGTAAGAGTACACAGCTAATTTCACACTCCAGATGCTACTGAGCAGTAACATGATACTTAAACTCACCATCACATATGTGCTGATATAGACATATTATCCACTCCAGCAGTCAGATTTAATATCGTATGTATTTTCTGTGTGTTTGTTTGTTTGTCTGGGAACAAATGCAGAATTCCTCTGGTTCATCAACCACAGAGTATCTCGCAGGCTTCAAGCCCCACAGCTCCTATGAAATCAGTGTGAACAGTTTCACCAGAGTGGGCCATGGGAATCAGTTCAGCAGCCCTGTGTCCTTCACAACCAATGAGTCAGGTAAAATATACACTGTATACAAACAAGGGACACATGTAAACACAGATATAGGTTTCCTTTCTCAATTAGAGACTTGGAATGTTTTTTTGGGATGATAAGATTTGTATCAGGATGCCAAGTGGAGTGTGACTGTAGAAGTAGCAAAAAGAAAATGAGGCCATACAGCGAGACTTTCAATAGGCCTTGGGGCAATTCTGGCAACCCGTTAGGCGACTCAGGAAGGGGACCCAGCTTCTTGTATACAGTGGAGATGGAGTGCTGCTAACCTTGCCTGAGGATAGTCATGAAGTAGAAAGAATGCTTTAAGGACCTTCTCAATCTCAGTGACACGCTGTAGTGGAAACAGAGTCTAGTGACTTGCCCATCACTGTGGCTGAGGTCACTGAAGTAGTCAAAAACTGTCCAGTGGCCAAGCCCCTGGATGGATGTAATTCGTCCTGGATGTTGTAAGGCTGTCTTGGTTGAGATTGCCTCTGCAGCATCACATGGATGTTAGACACAGTGCCTCTGGATTGGCAGATCAGGGTGGTGGTCCTTAGTTTCAGAAGGAATACATTCCTCAGTCTCTCACCAAAGGTCTAAGTCAGAGAGCTGAAGAGGAGACTCTGTCCAGTAGCTCATTGCCTTTACAACCAGGACTCATCTTTCTTACCAATTCTGTTTATAACTTTCATGAAAGGGATGGATAGAAATTCTGGAAATGGCCAAATTGCAAAGGGTTTCCACTTTATTGGCCTCAGAATTGCATCTCTGCTCTTTGCAGATGATGTGGTTCTTTGGGGCTCATCATGTGGGCCCCTCCAGCATGCTGTAAGATGGTTTGAAGCCAAGTGTGAAGCGGCTCCAATGAGAATCAGCAACTCTATGTCTGAGACCGTGGTAGTCAGTTGGAAAAGGGTGGAGTGACTAGCGGGTCTGGGACTCCACCCCAAGTGGCGGAGTTTAAGCATCTCAGGGTCCTGTTCACAAGTGAGGAGAGAGTGTATAGTTGATCTACATTCCTACCATTACTTATGGTCATGAGCTCTGGGTAGTGAACAAAAGAATAAAGCCCTGGATTCATCAGATGGCATCTTAAGAACAGCTTTCGGCCTTTAAATCTGTAGGATTTTCTTTACTTTTTGGGGCCAAGGACCACTTACGGGGAAGAAAACTTTTCCAAGACCCCTGGTTATGAATCTTTGGGGTCTCTAGACCAGAACCTACGTCTAATGAAGTTAATGGGTTAAACTGGAACAAGAATTCTGGCTATTCTACCAAACAGAAACTAAAATAATAAATAAAATGTGATAATTAGACATGTTTGATTTGTTGTGTCGTGTAGTGTCGCTTTTTTTGGACCAAGTATGTTTCTAGATATTTAATAGTGAAGAAAAAAGACGCAGTTAGTCAATACAGATATTTGCACGTTAGTAATAATTCAGTGTTCTGTACAAAAACCTGCAACCTTTTTAAGTTAAATCAAATAATAAACAGCTAATCTCGTGAGGTTCTTTAGTAAGGAAATCAACCGAAAGCTAAGACTTGGGTCAACAACATCACTATCTTGTGTCTTTCTCTGTCTGCAGTGTCTGACGCTGTAGGGAATCTGTCTTGCTCAGGATTGAGCTGGGATTCAATTCTGTTGTCTTGGGAAATTCCTGCCAATCCTAATGGGCAGATCATTTTTTATGAGATTCAATTGGAGGTAGACCAGCAGTCCTATAAACATGAGGCCCATACACCAGAGTACACAGTGACTGGGCTGTCGCCAGACCAGGAATATGCTCTCTCTGTAGCTGCTGTAAACTCTGCAGGACCAGGAGACAGATTAAACTGTACAGCTTCCACCCTTTCAGAATCAGGTAGTCAAATCTTCTTGTACTGCATTTTGCATAACCACCACAAGTGAATAATTGATTAAACCTTGTTGTCTCCTGACAGTTCCTGCTGCCCCTCGATTCCTCACCATCTCTCAGGTCACACCTAACAATGTGACACTTCAGTGGGCTCCACCACATTCTGTTCCAGGCCTGCTTAAAGAGTATCACATCATTGCACAGCTGATTTCAGCTAACTGTGAATCAAGCATATCAGTTAAAGCTCAGTCAACCCCGAAGGACGACCTGGCCCTGCATTGCATTGAACATAATGTGACAGTGTCGATAAATGCTTCAGATGCGGAACAGGAACAAAGCTTCACAATCCATCCCGTGGCCAAATACAGATACTACCGCTTCAAAGTTGCTGCCGTGACCAACGCTGGAGTCGGAGACTATACACAGTGGAAATATAAACGCACCATGGCAGGAAGTAGGAATGACATTGACGACATGACCTTTTTGTGTTGCCAGATAGCCAGAGAGATTTCCCGCTTAGTCAGACCTTCATGACCAATATTTGACAAATAATTACTTATTTGTTTTCAGACGTACCAGCAAAATTACACAGCTTGTCTGTTTCATTAGCAACACGAGCAAACACAGGCATGGTCAATTGTTTTATTCTGAAAGATGTCTTTAGATGTTATATCAATATAGCTTAGCAGTGTGTAATTAAGTAGTAATTACCAAAATACTAAGGCTGTTGTAACATCATTATTACACATGTGTTTGACAAATGAAAGAGAAAAAAGTAATAATTATGGTATAAATGGGTTAAATAGAAGCTGAATAAGAAATTATACTGATATTTATTGGACTGCACATGTAATGAATCTATATGCCAATCTAAAAGACAACATATGATGACATCTAACAACTGCAAAACTACAGGAAAGGCATTTAAAGTGAGGTGGACCAAGTGATCCCTGCTAATTCCAAAGAATGATCAGTTAACACTAATGCAACAAAAGTACCTTTTTATTAATGTAAACATGTTAAGATTTAGCAATTAAAGTATTAAAATTGTTAGTCATGCCAATAACCTATAATACCTAATACATTTGCAATGACATGTCCTGCATTGCTGCAGTAATTTTATTATCTAATATGTTCCGGCCAAATTAAATACTCGACCTCTCCTGCCAAGTACAACTAATGTATGCAGGAAAGTCTTCAGCTCATTAATTCAGTATTTAGAACAAAGAAAATATTAATTACCTTATCTTGTTTAGTCTTGTTTGATTCATATAACCGGAGCCACTCATTTTTCAGTTTTCAGTGTTTCTCTCATTCCCTTCCTCAGACCCCGATGCTCCTCCCCGTGACCTGAAAGTGACTTCCACCTCCAACAGCTTTCACATTGCGTGGGACGCTCCAGCTGTTCTCTCTGGACTGACTTCTTATCTTGTGCAGGTCATCTCGTTAGACTGTGTTTGTCACAAATATGAGCATGTCACCAATGAACTGTAGAACAAAATTCTTACAACAGCTCAACAGGGTATTATGTTGTTCAGGCTTTTTCAAAAAACAGTAGCAATTTAAGTACAAGGCTATAAAAGCAATCCAGTATAACTTAATAACTTTTCTATATAATGTCCTGTAATGCCAGGTGGATGGTCCCGGGGTGAATATCTCAATAGTCAGGACTCCAGGGGAGTTAATGACCATTGTTGTTACTAACTTGACGGCTTTCAGTCGTTACTCTGTGACTATCACTGCCTTCACTGGTGACTTGGAGCACGCTAGCAGTGATGGGAAAGCCATTGGACCCATTTACTTTCAAACAAAGGAGGAGGGTACGTCTTCACATTGTAGTGCCTGCACCACCTTCTGCCCACCTTTAGAGTTGACCAAATGAATACTGTTCTCTTGTATCTGACCCCAGAACCTAAAGACCCTCCAAAGAATGTGACAGTTTCAGTAATCCCAGAGGAAGTGCGTGCTGTGAAGTTGACCTTTAACCCTCCAGAGGAGCCCAATGGAAACATTACAGAATACATTGTATACATCTTTGAGAAGGACCAGCTGGTCAGAAACATTAGCCTTAACATCATCCAAAAAGAGAATAACACGATGGATGCTGTAATAGAAGGGCTAAAGGGAGGACGAACCTACAGTTTACAGGTAAAAAACACACCGCTGTGTGAAGTGAATTCTTTTCTTTTCATTGCAAACTTGAGATTCGGTGTGTAAGTTCTCCATGTAAGAAAAACAATGTCCCCCAAAAATTATAAAACAAATATACAGTATTGTGCAAATGGTTCATCAGATGGCTCAGATTATCCAACATCATGGTTGTAGTGCAAGTTTACAGTGAAGTAAGTATACTTGCGACCAAAAGTGTCTTTTCATTCCCTTGTGTGCAGACTCATGCTGGCATACACCGCAGTTCTTCTAAAAGTTTTCCCTCCGATTCCTGGAAAATTCCCAGTGGAAAAATTTAACAGGCCTCGTAACTCAACTGATAATGTACTCCCTGGCTATGAAACTGTGGGCTCTGTCTCTAAAAAACTGCAGCTTCATCTCTAAATTGTAGCTGGAACTCTGAGCACTGGTGATAATTCTCGAAATGAAATTTGGATCAGCTTGAGATAGTTGGTTCTTGCTCTGTAAGTTTGACGTTGTAGGTGAAGTAAAAGCACAATTGGCCAGAACAGGGCTTCCATGGACCAACTTAAAGCTTTAAGAGCAATTCAAAGATTGCTCTTAAAGGAAGGAGACAACAAGGAGACAACTGAAGGGGAAACTTCAGTTATAGAACTTTATGATCTCACCAGCGCACCTATACTAGCCAAACAACCAAGCCTACCATCAACCAAAAGCTTGGACTTGTTAAACTTTTCAATGCTTTAATTCCTTTCTGTGCTGGTCTTTCTTACTTTTGTATTCCCTTCTCTCTTGTGCTTGTCTGACTGCAGATTTCAGCAAAGAACGGGGCTGGCAAGAGCCCACTCAGCTCACGTGTCCTGATTACTACAGGGATCAAAGGTACAAGCCCGTCTGTCTTGTCTGTGCTCTGCAATGCTCCAGAGTCTTTCTTTCTTGATGCAGCAGTGCAGCATAGTGTGAGACAGAAAACTACCACTGCACAGTATTATTGCTCGGCATTCAGGGCCGCTCTGATACAGTAAATGTATCTTGGCAGTATTATTAGATGGGTGCTAATTATGCATTTATTCCAGCCTGTTTGCCGTGTTATATATGTAAATGTGGCAGATTAAAAGTACATCTTCTCACACAGACGCAACTTCTGCGCACACACGTGTGTGTGTGTTTCTGGGTGTGCTCATGTGTGTGGTTGTGTGTGTATGTGTGTGTTTCAGCCCCATCCAAGCCAACCCAAAAACCCCAGGCAATGCTGAGCTATGGAGGGGTTGCCATGGTTACCCACAGGAGTATCACCATCCACATGCCTGCATGTTTCTATAGTGACGACAATGGACCAATCACAAAAATTCAGGTCATCGTGGCCGAGTCAGGGGGTATGACTCTTAAAAAACATTGACAGCCATCACTTTTAGTTGGATACACTCGACTCGGGCGTCTGCCTTTGTATGTGTGTGTGTTTTAAATCAGAGTTTACACTATGTTACTTTGTCCCTACCTCAAAGAAAAAAGCAAGTAAAAACTTAAGCAGCTGAAATTTGACTTGGCCTCTTTGCACTTCTTCTCCTCTCTAACCTTTATCTTGCCACAGTGAAGGACAACAAGAACGTGACCAACTGGAAGAGCGCGTACAATGATCATCCCGTCCCTTACTTTACTGACTCAGGGTTCACCAACCCCCCGTGCAGTGACTCAAGTATGAATGCACATCTCAGAGGTGTGTTTAGAGATGGTTGGTCACAGAGGTACAACCAAACTGCTGCAGAATATGTGATCGGCAAGAGCGATGACTGCACGGGCAACAACACTGAGCATTTCTGCAATGGACCTTTGAAGCCTAACTCCGTCTATGTGTGAGTGCGCCACATACACAGTCTAATAAAAAAAATATATATAATTTTTTGTTTATTGTTAGTAAAAGCTAATGCAAAGTCTTGTGTGCTGTCTTATATTTACCAGGTTTAAGTTCAGAGCCACTAACATCAACGGGGAATACACAGACTCTGAATACTCGGAGCATATCAAAACAGGTACTGCTGTACTAAGGAAACGGGTAACCTGTGTGGCAAAGCCCTCTACTTTTTTTGAATTAATGTTTATCATTCTGTGAATTCTTCTCTGTTAAGGAGTATGGGGAAATTTACTAATGCATCATTTTATTGTAAAATTAATTATTAATTTCATGGGTTGCTTTATTGCCATTCCTGTGACCCTCCAGCTCCAGGCGATGGGCTGTTGACCAGAGAAGAGCAGATAATTCTGGGCGTTCTGCTCTCCTTCTTCTTGGCTGTGTTACTCATCATCATCATCTGTGGCTCAGTCAAGTAAGATGGCGAAAGACACTCACTCATTTGCATATATTAATAGTCTTAATCGTGGCTAGTTGAGCATTACACCATTTGAAAACAAAACTTCACTCATTTTACACATGTATTTGTATCATTATTTACCTGTTTGATTTATTGACATGTCAGGATCCACCAGCGTAAAAAGGAAGGTGGGACGTATTCGCCCAGAGAGGCAGAGATCATAGAGACTAAGTGTAAGCTGGATCAGCTGATCGCCGTAGCAGATATGGAGCTAAAACAAGAAAAACTCAACCAGTAAGTTTGTGCTAGTTTTAATCTAAAAGCGTCACTTTGACGAATATAACATGCACATTTCAGGCAACCGAATTAGGGTGCGTACTACATGACTTCAGGCTTAATTTAGCCTCTCCAAACACGATCTTAAATCTCAGGCAACAAGACAAAAAATGCCTTTGCTGCAGCCAACTTGATGTGCGCTCCTGTCAGCACAAAATCTTCTAGTGTTGTAGAGTTTGTGCAGAAAATAGCAGCAGCACAGAGACACAATGCAGCACTAAAGTGGCTTTATAATTTATCTTCAGTTCTCTGCAGAACAGACAAGTCTTCCTGTCTCCTTTCTCCCACCATCCTCTCAGACAAATTTAGCATCTAGCTTTACTAGGTTTTTTTTTGTCTTTGGCACAAACAAGAGTGCAGACACTAAGTGGTGCAAGCTGCTCTTCATTTACAAGCTGCAATTTTGAATCTGGTGAGAATCAAACTCAGGTTTAGTTGTTGTTTATAATTTATGAGTGCCACCGATGTATAGCAGTAAACTTGAGGAAAAATAATATGTACGCACTATAAACACTGGTTTATAATCCGATTCATTAATCAGCAGCTAATAGGTAGAGCAGTTTGTCCAATAAGCAGAAATGTTACTGTATATA